ATCTTGTTTTTCTCTTCCCGGAGTCTGTGTGGCAGTGACAGCAAGAAATAGATCAAAGTCGGGAGGGGCTAGGGGAGGCTGCCAAATCCGCTTCCTAGCTCTTATAGTCCTGGGTCGGGCCATGGCCCGCCCTCTTCTGAGAAAATACTCCTCCACTCTTCCCTGCCAGGGCCTTGGTTCTGCCCCTGCTCCTTGGTAATTGGGGTTGGGGGTAGGGTGGTGTGGGGAGGGGAGCCTGTCCCAGCTCTGGGATCCTCTGGGAGACCTTCTAAGGGTCATGAGCTCATAACCTCAGGAGGCCCAGGTTCCTAGAGCCCCATCCCCGGTCACTTATCCCCATGCCATGACCTCTCCATTGTCACCCCTTTAAAGTCCAGCCCCCAGCAAAGTTAGTATCATCTCCTTCCTGTCTGTACTTCTGGTCCTCAAACCTTTGTCCAGTGTCTGCTCTGAGCAGAGTACCAGGGACACAGAGGAAGAACCCTTGTGCTCATGAGAGAGACAAATAGCTGTTAGCAGATGGCTGTCTCAGGGCTCTGCACAGAATTGAATGAACCATGAAGCCTACAGGCCAGAGGAGTCACGGCACCTGGAACTTACCTCCACCCCACTGGGCCTGTGGGGAATTCCCTGAGCTTCCTCTTGGAGGACAGGTCCATGCCACCCATGTCGTGTTCTGACACTGCCAATTCCATCTTTCTGCCCCTGCCACTAAACCCTAGGCTCCACCCAGCTGTTCCCCAAGTTTCCGCACCTTCCCTCCCCTGGGCTCTGACAGTGCCAGCCTCTCCCTCCAATCTAGCCAGGAAAATGGCCATGGCTGTCCCTTGTCCTCGAGGGTGAGGCTGTGCTGGCCACACCTTACTGACTCCTGGGCTCCCTGACCTCACAACATACCCCTCTCCGCAAGAGGAGTTTCCCTCAGGCTGAGTTTGGTGTCCCCTCTGGATCTCTCCAGAGCCCTGGCTTCTGGCTTTTCCCGCCCAGAGTAGGGGCAAACATGTGAAGGGCAGCTTCGCCCTCAGGGCTGTTTCTGTGGCTCTCTGTGAGGCTGCCAGGCCCGGCTTGGTCCCTCACCTCTGGCGCCGCTCCTTCTCTTTCGCTTTCTCTGCCTGCTCAACCTTGATCTGGGGCACACGCTCCAGGTTCTCGAGCAGGTCATCCAACTGCTGCTCGATAATGGTCAGCATCTGCACAGTGCCCAGGTTGGACTCCTGCTGGGTGCCAACACAGTGCCGGTACACATCCAGCACCTTGTGGTTCAGGCTCTCCAGCACCTTGTCCTATGAGGTGAGCAGGCTTCCATCAGGATTTCATGGGCCTGTGCCCGCCTCCCATTCCATTGTCTTCCAAACACATTGCCCTCAAGGTGTGACATGGCAGACCTCCTGGGGCCCTGCCTGGCACAGGTGGTCACTCGGAGCATGGGGAAAACAGAACTTGGACACCTGGACTCTCCTTGGCCAGAATTTTGACACCCCCTCCCCACCCTCCTGTGGTTGCTTTGTTCTGGATTACAGCCCCTACTGGGCCTCATGCCTGCACCGTGGCCCCTCCCCCAGCTGTCTCAGTGTGCCCACTGAGGCCCAGTTTCCTCCAGGGAGCTCTCCGTATTCCAACCCTGCACTGACCTTAGCTCCCCACAGGACTACATTGTGAGACCTACTTTCTGTGGCCCTGGGCATATGAACTTCCTTCTCTTAGCCTGTTCTAACATTCAGAAAACAGTTACTGCCCTCTGCCACACAGAGTGGGCCCGAGGATTAAATAAGGAACAGCCGGCAAAAAGTCTTAAGCCAGGCGCGGGGCATAGCCAGTGCCCAGTGATGTCTGTTAGAAGGCTGGAAGGCACTAGTCTGCTGATTGTGGCATCCTGTGTATCTAGCCCAGTGCCTGGCACACAGTAGGCATTCAACAGGAATTTGGATGAATTAGGAAGCTGGGTCCACACACCGCTCTGGGTGTGCTGTCAGGAAGGGTGTGTGCGAATCCTGGTCCTGCTGCCCAGAACAGCCCTGGCCTTCTGTTCCCCCAGAATTCTCTCACCCTCCTAGCCTGGCCTGATCCTCCCAGTAGGGTCATCTTCTGGGTATATTGTCTATATTAAGAAGCAGGTATATTTGTTGAATGAAAGAAGGAATGGAGGAGATGTAATGGGCAGCTGAACAGCCATGGGGCAGAAACAGGATAGCTCAAGTTTGGGGACCAAGAGCCTTCTCCAGCCAGTGCCCCTTGGTCAGGCCCACAGAGCCTGGAAGGTGGTGAGGGTCCACGGCAGCCCCAGAGAATAGCCAAACTTTGGGCCTCGTTTCCCTGCTGCCAGAGCTCCAGGCACTGGGCCTCCTCCCAGCAGGTACCTGGAATGGACAACTTGCTGCTTGACCCCCAACCCCAACTGCCAGCTTGCAGCCACCTGCATTCCTTCCACTCCCACAGCTCACTGGCTGCCATCCAGGGTCCTACCTCCTGAGCACCCTTGTACTGGCCGAAATGGAAGACTCGGGCTTTGAGCTGCAGCTCAGCAGCCATCTCCTCCTCTTTGGCGATGGACATCATCAATGTGGTGATCCACTGCTTCAGCTGGTTGACCTCCCTGTCCCTGGATGGGGGAGGACCAGCAGGGCCTTGCTCACTCAGCGTGGCCCTGAGCACTTCACTTTTCTGAGCCTGACCTACCCTCCCAACTACCGGTGTCCTCAGGGCTAAGGGCCCATGACTACAAAGTGCATGTTCAGGGGTCAAAGGTGCAGTGAGTTGCAGGAGTAAATTTTAAGATCTTTAACAACTGAATAAAAACAAAAAACAAAAAAAACAACCCCCCCCCCAGCTTTTAGTATATTCACGAAGTTGCACAATCATTGCCATAATTTTAGAACGTTTTCATCACCTATGAGAGAAACCTAATACCCATTAGCATTCACTCCCCATTCTTCCTTTTCTTCCTTCTTTATGTCTTTTTTCCTAGATACTTTATAAATATGGAGTTATATGGGCTTTTGTGTCTGATTCTTTCACGCTGATTCTTTCACACAGTTTTCAAGTTTCATCCATGTTGTGGCATGTTTCAGAACTTCATTTCTTATGACCACATAATATTCCATTGTGTATACAGACTACACTTTACTGACCCACTCATCTACCGAAGGACGTGGTATCTACCTTTTGGCTCTTGGGAATAATGCTGCTATGAGCATTCACAGACAGGTTTTTGTGAGGACGTGTTTTCAGTTTTCTTGAGTATATATTTAGGAATAGATTTGCAACAATCAGCTTTTAAATGATATAATAAATTTTTTAAAGTAAATAAAAATCACAATTATGGTAGGCACTGACCATTGTACGTTGGGGTTTCCCATGCTGGAATCCCTTGAGGTTGGCATAGATTCACCCAGTGTAGGCAGCTGCATGGAAGTCCCTGTTGCAGTGACTACATGGACATCTGGCCAGTCTGGCAGCAGTGCCTGGGAGGCCTAGAGGTGCACCCTATCCCCACAATGATTTTGTGGCTATCCATTTGTTTATAGAACGTACTGGCATTTTCTTGATCTTAAAGCACCATGGGCTGCTGCTCTTTTGCCCACTGGGAGTCCCACGGTCTGTCACATGCACCACCACAGGAGTGCAGGCTATAGCTTCACAGCAGCGCCCCCAAGCTGCACTCTCCCAGCTGTAGAACTGAAGGCTGAGGCCAGAAGCCTGTGCATTGAGGGGTATTGAGCTGGTCTGATGATTCTCAGAAGTGGTGGCTGGAGAGACCACATGCAGCTTTCACACACCCCACCTACTTGGGTGCTGATGTGGTGCAAGCAGGTTATTTGGGATGACAGAGCATCTCCTAGCATCAGGCCTGACTTCCCTCCAATCCTGAGTGCCCACTGCAGGAGTGGGTACATTTGGGGTCTGTGGTATGTCTCCTAAAGGATACATGAATACATTCGGCTTTTACCTGGTTTTTAATCCTTCGCTTTCAATGCCTTAACTGGTCAGTGCTATCCTACAGCTGGCACTGTACTGCTTCACCTATACCTTTCTTTGTTATATGGATGTGGTTGGTAGTGGTGTTTTTACTAGTTTTTTTCCCCCCATGTTTAACTCCAGGTGATTGGGATAATTTCCTCCTACTAGTTCTCTTTAAATGTAAAATTGTTGGGTCACAATTTTTTCTCCACAACTAGATCCCACCTCTAATTTACAGGAAATTCAGAGGCGTGAGGGACAAGCTGTTCAGTGTTGGTCCTCAGACTGCTGTGTACATCACCTGCATGTTTGTCAGAAGTGCAGAGTCCAGGCAGGACTCACTCAGGACCTGCCTAGTCAGACACTTCATTTTACAAGAACCCTGGGGGAATCTAGACACACAGTCTGAGGAGCACTTTGCTGCCAGAAAAGTGACCTGGTTTCTTCAACAACTGGATTGCAGAGAGACAACAAGACAGAGAGAGGACCTATAGATTGAAAGGGATTTAAAGACAACCAATTGCAGAGTGTGGTCTTATTTGAATTCTAACCCAAACTAATAGTTTAAAAACAATCACTTATGAATTATGAATATTAAATATTAAGGATTACTGCTTTTTCTTTGGATGTGATGATGGTATAGAGGTTATGTTAAAGAGCCTTACTTTTTAGAGATATCTACCAAAATATTTACAGATAAAATGATACAATACTTGGAATTTGCTTCAAAATAAGGGGGGTGGGAAAGTGTGTGGGGTCTAGATGAAAGGAGATTGGCTATGAGTTGATCACTTGAAACTGGTGATGGGTCTGGGGACTCATTATTCTCTCTACTTTTATATATGTTTATATATTTAAAATTTTTTAGAGCTATTGGACTGAACTGTAGAAGTTACAAGAAGTTTTTAATAATTTTAATAGTTTTTAATAATTATGAGAAATAATTTCTTCATAAATACCGGGGATCATATAGCTAGAAAGTTTACCAGATTGGTATTAAAGAAAACAAGTACCACGAAATGTGAATAACAGTCATTCGAAAGACCAAATGAAAGAATTACATATTCCTGCAGAAATAGCAGCACAAAGAACAAAACCAAAATATTTTGAAATAGAAGAAGAGAGAATGGGAAGCACCAGGAATCTGTCTCCCCAATCTAGACAACAATCACACTGGTAGAATCTGTCTGATAAAACTATTTTGGAATTCTGAAGTCAATTGAACCCTTGCAACTTCCAGGGGAAGCCTTGGCCAGTAATTGCAGTTGATTCCAGTCAATTTCAGCTCTGAGCATAGTAGCAGCTACCCAGCCACCACTCACAGCCACATAGCAGGCAACTATTCAAATTTCCTGGAGCAGCTTACATAGCCTGTGGGCACTAGGGTGGGCGAAAGGACCCTGTCCTTCAAATATTGGGGATCTGTACTCTGATCACTGATGCTGCTGATCACAGAAGTGCAGACAACAGGCAGGCAGCCATTGTTGCACCTCTCCCCATTGTTGCAACCTCCTCCCCCCTGCAATCCCCACTGATGAAGTAACTTCCAAGGGAAATTAAGGGCTGGTGCTCTTTTTGGCCCCCATTCATTTTTTGCTTTTCCCCCTTTTGAAAACCAGACACTAAAGACCAAGGACATTAAAAAACAACACTATATATGGAGAAAACTGGAAAGTGACTGCATGCCAAGGTTTAGGAAAGACTTTAAAGACCTTAAATTTACACCTCAGGCTCAGCATAGAGACAACTTTCAAGTAAACAAGAACAATAATAAAATCCTGGAGTAGAGAGAGAATCTGATTTCGAGTCACTATATTATTAGATTCAAACATTCGGTGTTTAACAACAACAACAACACAAGAAAGTATGGCCCACTCAAAGGGAAAAGAACCCAGAAACTGTTCCTAAGAAAATCTAATGGCAGATACACTACAAAGACTACATAAAGATGCTCAAAGACCTAAATGTGGAGAAAGTCAAGAAAACAATTTATGAACAAAATAGAAATCTCAATAAAGAGAAAACCTAAAAAAAATCTGGAGCCAAAAAGTACAATAATTGAAATGAAAAATTCATTAGAGGGATTCAATCTCCTTGCAGATTTGTGCTGGATGAAGAAAGAATCAGCAGTCTTTAAGATAGGACAGTAGAAACTATCAAGGCTGAGAAATTGAAAGAAGATTGAATAAAAGCAAATAGAGACTAAAGAATTTGTGGAACATAACCAAGAGGACCAATATGTACATCTTGGGTATCCCAGAAGAAGGCGAGAGAGAAAGGTGCAGAGCAAATATTTGAAGAAATAATGGCTGAAAACTTCCCAAATTGGATGAAAGACATGAATATAAATATCTAAGAAGCTCATGGAACTCCAAGTAAGGAAGTCACAAGCCTACATGGAGACACATTGTAATCAAACTATCACAGGATAATCAAAAGCCAAAGCACCAGAATCTTGAAAGCAGCAAGAGAGAAGCAAATCATCACATACAAAGGATCTTTAATAGTTTATCAGCAAATTCCTCATTAGAAACTTTGGAGACCTGAAGACAGTAGGCTGATATGTTCAAAGTACTCAAAGAAAAAAAACCTTGTCAATCAAGAAGCCGATTATCTGACAAAAACTTTTTAAAAGCAAGGGAGAAATTAAGACTTTCCCAGATAAACAAAAGCCGAGGGTAATTAGAGATAAAACAAACAAAATGGAACAAAACGCAACATACCAAAATTTATGGGACAATGCAGAAGTGGTGCTTAGGGGAAATTTATAGCTATAAACACTTAACATTTTAAAAAATAAGAAAGATCTGAAATCAACAAGCTAACTTTACAAATTAAGGAACTTCCAGAAAAAGAACAAACTAGGCCCAAAGCTAGCAGAAAAAAATAATAAAGATTAGAAGAGAAAGACAAAGAATAGAAAAACAATTGGTTCTTTGAAAGATCAACATAATTGACAAACCTTTAGCTTGGATGGACTAAGGAGAAAAATTACTAAAATCAGAAATAAAAGTGGGGACATTATTACTGATTCTACATAAATAAAAATATTAGAGTACTATGAACAGTTGTATGTTCAAAAATTGGATAACGATGAAATGAAAAATTCCTAGAAACCCCAAATCTACCAAGACTAAATTGTGTAGAAATAGAAAATCTGAATAGACATACAACCAGTAAGAAGATTGAATAACCAAAAAATCTAATACCAATCCTTTTCAAACATTTTCAAAAAGTTTAAGAGAAGGGAACATCTAGCTCATTCTATGAGACCAGAATAACCATGATGCCAAAGCTAGTTAAAGATACTACAAGAAAAGAAACTACAGGTTAATATCCCTTATGAACATTCATGCAAAAAAAAAACTTCAACAAAATACTAGCATACAGAATTCAGCAGCACATTAAGATGATTATACAACATGACCAAGTGGGTCTTATTCCTGGAATGCAAGGATGGGTCAAAACACAAACATAAATTCAGGTAATACACCATATAAACAACACAAAGAAAAAATATCACAGGATCATATCAATTAATGCAGAAGTAGGATCTGATAAAATTCAACAC